CTCCAGTGGTTTTCCGTGATGCGGTAACAGACAGACAGACAGACAAAAAATCTAAAAATTATAGATTCGGCCTGATATCGATTATCTATTTCAATAAGATATTCCAAAAAATATTTGATGTACAGATTCGACTCGGGTAGGATTTTATTATATGTATCAACTAGCATTGCCCGCGGCTCCGTCCGCGTTTAGATGACCAAAAACCAAATTCTTAGGTTTTACAGATTAGTATACTCTTACATTGTAGTTTATGCATTTTTTCTTAGAAATGAGATATTTTCCAGCGGTAAAAAGTATCCAGTAAGTAGTATACATATTCAGTAAGTAGTAGGAGCCAACATGTAAGATACTTTTTACTGCGAGAAAATATCTCATCTCTGAGAAATATATACTAAACTTTAAAACGTATCATTAATCGCAGATATTTACTATACGAAGAATTCGTAGTATAAAAATGTTTATTTGAAAAGTACTAAATAAAATGTTACTTTAATGATTAAAGCCACAGTTAATGTCGACGCCAGTAGGTTGGTTAAATTAATACTATTCTATTTATAATTTCAACGCGTGCCAAATTGTGAATGGCTTGCGAATAATATCGATGTAGAACATTAGTGCGGGATCAAAGAGAACAATCCAGTATTCAGTTGTCAAGCCTCTAGACTTGGCATGTTGTGATATTTTTGCCAATTTAATAGAGTGGTTTATGATGTATTAATATGTATATTTTATTATATTTGTCAAGGTTTTTATACACGTTTTTTTTATATGGTTATAATCACATTAATATTATAAACGCTAAAATTTGTTTGTTTGTTTGTTATTTTTTAATGCTAAAATGACTGAACGGATTTCGGTGAAATTTGGTACACTGAAAAAAGCTGCCGAAGGTGTCACTGCATATAATATTATATATATATATATATATATATATATATATATATAAGTACAAAAGGCGCTTAGGCACTTTCCCTATAATTATGTAAGTAACACTTATACTGAGTATCGTTGGTTCGATTTCTATAAGGTGTAAATGCTTGTAGCATAGATGCAAAGGCCTATTGTGATTTGGTAAAGGCAAGTCTCTTTTCTCTTCATTTATTTCGTAAAGGTGTTATCAATAAAGTAAAATCAGTACGTCTTGTTTATATAATTTTTTAAAGTCGGAAATGCATTTACGCATACCACTTGGTGGGCCACCTCTCAGTGTATTTCTTGGCTTCATGTCCGGCTGGATTGCCGGACGCTATTGAAACATCACGACGAGATAGACTTACGTTTTTAAGGAAAACTGGAAAAAAAGAAAAAAGGATCTGTTATTAATCGACTTAACTAAAAATTTTAACCACAGATCACATAATACTATACTAGGTTCAACTATCGCAGTTAATATTGATATTTTATACAAGCTTTGATTGCACCGGAACATGCAAAATGCAAAATATAGTAGAGATATTGTCTTTATGCCCATATATAAGCATACGTACACCAAGCTTTGAATGGCCAATATTTATTATTGTTCTACAATTTGTATGCAGGAATTTCAATTCGACCAAATATTGAAGTTATACAAACTAACTATATTTCAGAACCAACACTTCCCGTCCATCTGGCATACCTTTATATTTTTTACAATTGAGATGTCGCGAAAAAAGAACATTTCTCGCTACTTCCCCACATGTCTATCTGTCTATCACTACGTTCATAAATGCCTTTTAAGAAAATATAAGAAAACCCTTGGAATTTTTTTTAAAGAAAGTGTTCCTCGGAAAAACTTGGGATTGATCAATTCATAAAATAAAATGAAGTATCACTTTGTATTGTAAAGGAAAACGATAATTTAATTTATTTTTAGTAAAAATTCTAATCTATTATACTCATATTATATGGTAAGAACCGTTACACATTTGGCTCAGTTTGTAGTGACGAGTACTTGCTGTGCCAGAGGTCACGGGTTCGAGTCCCGCTGGGGGCATTCATTTGTGTGACGAGTACGAATGTTTGTACTCCAGTCATGGGTGTTTATATTTATAATATGTATGTATTTAAAGTTATATATGTGTAGTGTATTAACTACCTGTTATCCATAACACAAGTCTCGTAGCTTAACCATGGAACTAAATGGTGCTGTGTGTTAATGTCCTAACATAAAAAAAAGAACCTGTAATCTCTTTAGTAATGCGTAGATTCAGCCAGAAAGCACTGAGCCGAGGCGGTCTTCAACAAATTATGTAGAAATTATATGCGTAATTAAATAAGCTAACCGGGGCATATTTACTTTAGATATTATAATAACGAAAACAAATTCGTATTATTACATACAGACTTTAGTAGTTTGATGTTTCATAGAAACAGAAACAGTGTCATAATAAATTTATTAGATCGCACTAGATTTTAGAGAAAAATACTGTTTTTTTTTAGATAGACTTGACGTATTTATGACGGAATATTTTTTTGTTTAGAGAGAAATAATATTCAGGGTTTGATTAATTCTTGTTCTTCCTGAAAACGGGTTTATGAACATTTAAAAATATCAGAAAAATCAGTCTGATATTTTATCGACTTTGAAAATGGAGGAGATTCTGTCTTTTATATTCTCGATTTTAATTTATTACAAAATTACTTTATTGATCGTCATTTGATGAAATTGCTAAAGTTCGAGGGTGACCCCATTTGTATTTAATTTTTGCTTTAGCTAAAACCTTGAGAATATTTATTTTTATCATAAATCAATGATTTTATGATTTAAAATACGTGTTACAAACACATAAGTAGGGCTGTAGACTTAACTAAAATTGAAAATCAACTTAAGACAGCGTGTATTATAAGTAGTATAGATAAAGGTCACATTTATAGCCTTCTGGTCAAACTAAGAGGTGTGATGAAGTGACATCTCAGAACTCAGAACAGTTAAGTGCTAACCTCCAAATAAAATTATCGTTGTAGCAGGTTTTGATAGATTCAAAAATCTTAGTCAATAAAACTATTTACGGTTTACATAAAGTACATTAAAAACAAAAATTCGACGAGACGCTTGGCTAAGATTGTAGTGACCCTACTTGCTGTGCCAGTGGTCGCTGGTTTGAGTCCCGCTAGGGGCATTCATTTGTGTGATGAGCACAATGTTTATACTCCAGTCATGGGTGTTTATATTTATAATATGTGTATCCCAGATAGTTGATACACTACACATAGATAACTTTAAATACTAAAGTTATATATGTGTAGTGTATCAACTATCTGGGATCCATAACACAGGCCTCGTAGCTTACCATGGAACTAGATGGTGGTGTTGTGTATTAATGTCTTAACATATTTATTTATAAATAATCGAGTATGTGCGACTCTGATTCTCACACCGAGGGTTCTGTAACAGGAAACATTATATTTTGTAATATATGTAATTAATAATGTTAAAAGTTACATGTATGAAGGGTCACCCCTATTTTTTTCATTTATAGTATACCAATAGCATCCGAGTAAAGTTGTTGTAACATGCGAACAAACGGACATAACAAAAATACAAGGGTTTCGTTTTCACTTGTAGGCTACGGAACCCTAAAAATTAATACACTTTAATTTAACACAGTTTAAATATTATTTATAACATTATTTCTTTACTAAATTGATTATATACTAAATATATTTGTTACAAAATTATTTTAGCATTGAAATACATATTTATTTAAATATTATCGTTTAAATACATTCTCAGTAAGCAAAAGTATCGTGCAAAGTACCTACTTACACAACAAAACATGCACTCAAATTCTACTATCTACTATTATTTTAAAATTAGTAAATGATCTATTATAGATGAAAATAAATAATAATATGTTATTAAGTTTATGAAATTTATCACAAATATTATATTAAAGCTACATTAAAGACAAAGTAGGTCAAGGAAAAGTACCCTATAGGTTTTAATTTCCTTGCGAGTGTCAAAATATACTGTGCATTAAACGGCCGTATCTTTTGATTGCGTTGACTTAGAAGCTTGATTTTTTACAGCTCCAAGGTATTGCAGAATTGAGTATTTGATATTAATTTCCAATTGATTTCTCCATGCGTTCCTGCGAAAGAGGTTCTTGATATACAGACAACGAAGTGATAAGGGTTGCTTTTTTCCTTTTGAAGTACGGGACCCTAAAAATTAGCGTTTGTGTTATTACAGACGCCAAAAATTTTGTATAAAAATGTATTGTTAGAACAAATACCAATACACATAGAATTGGGAAAATAAAGTGTGTGTGTGTATGTGTGCAATTCACACACAGTGGAAATGAAACTTCAGAAGAGTAACCTACGAGAGAATGAGATGAATATACTCGTATATAGAGTATCAGGAGTAGGATAATTCTAAGGTTTAGTTTTTTTACCAAGTTTAAAAGTTATTTTACATTTTATTTAACATAATATATCACATAACATACTATTCAGTGTTATTTTTCACTTCTGGTATAATTCATTCTCTCGCCGGCTAAATCCTATATATCCCTTTAAATGTGTTTGTCTCTTTCACGTATCGCATTTTCATTTCATCGAGTTTTAAACTACACCGATTCTAAAGAAGTTCCACTTCAATAAAATACGGTACGAAACCGAAAAAAAGTGATTTTGTAGATATCTTAACAGCCACTTTCATGGATATAGTAGTAAGTAGATTTTAAATTTTCGTAAAATAGCAAGATAATCTTCCTAATTGCCTTCTCGAGGCGCGTGAGCTGAGGCACATTATCGTCTTACTTTAGATGACTTTATCTTCTAAATTGTTACATTTTGAATATTAAGCAAAGGTACATTAAATATGCATATATCATGCTTTTTAAGTTGCTCTGGTAGTGAAATAATATAGATGAACTAGCATAAGCCCCCGACTTCAACCGTGTAGCGGTAGCAGTTATATGTTTAAGCTATCGCCTTTTCGCAGTTCATTCAAATCTGTTGAGCTATTGAAACGTGAAGGAGTAACAAACACACTCGGTATTTTTTTGTTTGTAATGTCCTCCCGACCGATTCCGGCCACGGCAGCCAATCTCATTGAGACAAGCCAACTGCGCAGGAGATATTATAGTGCTCAAGTGTACGCGCAGACACAAGTGCACTCTCTATTCCTGTCACTCTCATACTCCGGTGGGACGACACGAGACACGACCGGTGAGAGTTCGGAGAGAGTCCAAGACGCGGGGGTGAAACATCACCAACTTCCCAACTCTGGACTGTTACTGAGGCTTACCAAACAAAAAGACTTAATATAGTTATGATTTTGGCCAAGTTACTAAACTTGGCTCGACCCGGGACTCGAACCCAAGCCTCCGGATCTGCAGCCGTACATGCTAGCCACTACAGAACCGAGGCAGTTGTAGTAGTGTAGAAAATCTATGTCAAGAAAAGCCCATAAAGAAAAATTAATTAAAAAGATAAACGGAAGTAAAGTAAAACGACAAAATATTAACACAATCGCAATAAACGTAATAAATCGAAAATAATTAAAAGGTCATTCCGGCATAAATTTTCTCGCAAATTAAACGTTTTACCGAATCCAAGCATGATTGAGTGAAATTAATTGAGGCTTTTTGCTACAGTGCTCATCACACCTACCTACCTATACACAGCGAAGCGTATATTTTTATTAAGATATTTTTGATATCTACTTATCTATTATATGTGGGACATTCAGAATTAGAGATAGTTTATATCTTACATTAACCTATCTTAGTAAATAAAAATGCATAAAATATAAAACAAAATATTTAAAATAAATAAGCTAAAAATATATAAATAACAATAATAAATACGGATAAATCAAGAACTGAAGAATTAAGTCTACAGGTTGAGTAAGCGATGCACGTTAGAATCTCATAAGATTCCTTTTTTAAATCACTTTTACACAGAAAAGGGAAAAATTTTCAATAATTTTCTTTTAATATTTTAGTTCTCGTCCCTATATTTATTTAACGTTATGATAATGGCAACCAAAAATTTCATCCGTATATTTCACGCAACATAATAAAACCAGCGAATGTTTATTGAAGTTTTAACTTTATTGACTCTACAGTTAGTTTAGCAGTCTCAACAGACTGTTTTAACAAACAGTTTTAGATTAATCACCTATAAGAAACATTCGATCATATTCTATTACAGTGGTTCTGACAGAAAAATAACAAAACTTTGCTATTTAAGACGATTTAATTACAACAAAAAAATAATTAAAGCTCAACCTTAGAGACCGTTGACCTCTTTTCAATAAAAAAATAAAATAACCACAGACAATACTCGGCTTACATCCATAGTTCATTTTCCGCCTTTACAGTTCGAAATATGAAAATTTGTTTGAGAAGAGTTTTTCAGCCAGTTCACTGTTCAGTAGTCGCGCGACAAGCGCCGAGTACAGACGTAATATAATTCTGTACGCTATATAGAAAAGTTTCCCGCGCGAAAGTTTTTAACCTATCATTTCGTTGAAGTGACTTGTTTTTAAGTGTTTTTAAAATATTTTTTTGTGCACGTGTTTCGTGTTCATGTATTGAAAATATTTTATTTCCGGTAAGTATTATTTTATTATATTTAAATATTTTTAATTAAAAGGTTGATGTCTTAAAATATAGGATGTTAGGAAATTAATGGTTTGGAGAATTTATAGATTTACGATTTTGTTAATTTTAAAATACACACATTATATCAATCGACACAGCAATTTGAAAATGGGAAGTTCATAGTTATACAGCTTTTTTAAATTTATTAATTCACGGAAACTATGAATTTTTTTAATTATATTTATTTTATTCTGTACTTTTTTAAGAAAACAAGGAAGTATTTAAACTATATAGAGAAGATTCTATACGTTGACCCGGATAACCAGTTATCATCATACCAAATATCATCAAAATCTCTCAAGTGGTTTTCTGTGATGCGGTAACAGGCATACGTACAGACAGACAGACAAAATTCTAAAAACTATAGATTCGGCCTGTGTATCGATAATAATATTTATTTCAATAAGAATTTCCAAAAAATATGTAATGTACAGATTCGGCTTAGTTACAATTTTATTATATGTATAGATGTGGTAAACTTTGAAGATCTAAAAATATGGTCTAGCTCTAAACTCTATATCAAAGCAAGTAATAAAAACGCTACAACAATAAAACCAGTGCACACAATCGAAAATCAAAGAAACCGATCAAATGAAACCTTAATATATCTTAATAAAAATGACTTTACTTCTAGTATCTTTTTCCGTAAATACTGTTCAAAGTGACGGTTCAAACGCTATAAGCGCAATCGCCTCAATAAGACTGACCCCTCATGTTTTTCCATTAAGGCTTGTGGGGTGACAATAAATTATGTGTGTTTTTATGGTGATTCAATTTCTATTGAGTAAAATAAATGTTGAAAGAAGAAATATATTTTGTTTAATGATTAAAGCTTGAAAGTAAGTTAAAACAAAAAAGTTTTTAGTGACAAAATAAATGAATAAATTTGATTATACACGCCTAATGGGTTTATGGGGTTGGGAATAAGATATTGCAGTGTTATCAGTTTTAAATGTAAAAATACAGCCATATAATGTAGTAAAACCCTGTCGTAAATTGTATTTTGTAATATATTAATTAGAATAAATTTCTATGAATAATCTTAAGTTATTAATGTAACTAAACATACATATAGTTATTTATTCTAGCAGAACCCGCGGCTTTGCTCGCACTAAAACTACATAAAAAATCTCTAATGGAATAAATTTCGAAAAATGCTAAAACATATATTTATTTTATTGTATTTAACAACATTAATACTAAGTTCCAAGTAATTCTGATTATAAATAAGTTTTTGGGTTGTATTATAACGTGTTTTCCTGTGAGAATGACTTAATCTTTTTACCACGGGAAAAAGTAGTCTATATCACTCTCCAGCCCTCCAATTACACACACACACACCACACACACACACACACACACACACAAAAATATGCCAATCCGTCACTCGGTTTCGACGTGAAAGAAGGACAAACAAGCAAACAAAAAAACACACTTTCACCTTTATAATATTAGTATGGACGATTCATTCAATTCATACTTTAGTTTCCGCGGCTTGTCATTTTAAATTGTATCTGGAAACGCTACAGTGTTTTTGGATCTAAAAAAATAAAAACTTTACGTTTTTATTTACCTATGTCTCTTAATTTAAATATGATATTATGTTATTATTATATCATTATATATTATTATCTCTTTAGTAATATTGCTTTTATTTTGGAATAAATTATTTTAAAACCACAGAATAAATTATACACGCTCTAGCTGTAATAACTTGATCTCTGCATATTAGGAGTTTTCACGTACTCCAAAGCTTTGTATGAGCTTTTCATTTGCATAATTTGACATTTCTATTAACATATTATCTAGTTTTAAAATAGTAATTACCTACTCTCATTAAAATTTACAAGTAGCAAATGAAATTGTAGAGTAAATTTTTTACGATTTTTTTTGTATTAAATTTCCCTAGGTTTGCTTAGAAGCGTCCCAAGATAATTTTGTGTGCAAGGTGCGATTTATTTTAAATTTTTTTCCGACGACTTCTTACGTAGTAAAAATTTTTTTACGAAAAATTATTTTATTTTATAAAAATTATGTACAACCTAAGGTCCTGGTCCATCTAAGTATTGATGAAGAAATTATTGGATTCGGATGAATACGGGTAGTTTATATATGTAACTTCCAAACTTTACCTCTTTATAATATTAGCTTATCTATAAAATATTTTATTTTATAGAGTTCTAATGACTTTTGTAATGTTATTTTTATAATGAGCGCACTTACATACTGTTTCGTACTGAGTCTGGAGAAATGATGAATGAATATAAATGATTCACCTAAGATCATACTAGCTTAATAGAGACGACACGTTGGCTCAGTTTGTAGTGACCCTACTTGCTGTGCCAACAGTGGCGGGCTCGAGTCCCGCTGGGGGCATTCATTTGTGTAATGAGCATGAATGTATATTTATTATATATTATAAATATAAACACAGATGACTGGTCATGGTTGTGTATATTTATAATATGTATACCTATATTCAAAGTTAGATATGTGTAGTGTATCAATTACCTAGTATCCATAACACACCATGGAACTAGGTGGTGCTGTGTGTTAATGTCCCAACATATTTATATTACGGGTTTTGCACGCGGTTTTACTCGTGTATTAATGTACGTACAACCCCTCCTAAGGGTCATAGCCTAAAGTTAAATGCCCTTTAACTTCATCAATATAAATAGACTTTATCACACAGAATATTTAAAATTAGGCCAATAATTCTAGAGTTAGGCGTTCAAACAAAGTCTTCAAGATACAGATTTTTTATAAGTTACAAAAATCTTATTAAGGTCAAAATTTTAATACAAACGGTGTTGTTAGCCAGCTTGGTGTAATGTTGCACGAGATTAAAGGAATAAGAGCTTTGACAGAACAAAAATATTAAGAATTGGCTGTTGTTTGCGTTGAATATAAAAGTGTTTTACACTGTGACACAGGTTTCGGAATACTTTAAGAGGAAAAAGTGTCGTTTTAGTATTTTTTTCTTAGAAATTCCCTAAATCGTACCTTCTAATTTCCACCATTGCATAAACTAATGTTAGATTTTAGAAAACAGTATTTTTATTTTGATAAATTACGAGGCAAGTGATGTATAGATATTATTTTTATAAATGACTTATCCTTCTATCCTGTTCCAGGTTTATTTTATTTGTGTATTTTTCTATCCAAATCGATCAAGCTGTTTCATCGCGAAGAAGAAACAAACACACATACACAAATATACTAACTTTTTTGTATTTTACAATATTTATGAACGAACATCAACAATAACATTTAGGTCAATATTTTGAATATTTTTCTTAAATTCGATATTTTTGAGGTCTTAAATTGATTCCAATTATAATTAAAATAGATAAATAACTCCTACAAAAAAAAAAAAAACTAACAGAATATAATTAGGCCATGTTTTAGCGTAAATGTATTTGTATTTTATATCAAAACTAGCATTGCCCGCGGCTCCGCCCGCGTTCAGATAACCAAAAAACAAATTCTTAGGTTTTACATATTAGTATACTCTTACAATGCAGTTTTTGTATTTTTTCTCAGAAATGTCATATTTTTCCGCGGTAAAAAGTATCCTATATGTTGACCCGGATATACAGGTATCATCATACCAAATTTCATCAAAATCTGTCCAGTGGTTTTCTCGTGATACGGTA